TCTCCCCTCTCTACATTTTTAGCATCAGAACAACTCAGTATAGGTCAGGTTGAGAAATAGTAATTGCAGTTCACCCACTGAGTGCATATAGTGAGATATAATAAACATAAAATAGCATGTCCTAGTGAGGTGCAGGGAGAAACTAGTATTAGCCAAGGTAGAAAAGCTGGCCACCTTTGTGGAGTGATCTAGCAAACCATAAAAAATGAGAAGTAATTCTGCAAACCATGGATTTGCTATGTCATGTGGTGATTTATTCTCTCTTTACTGAATCCATGTGTCTTAGTAGGTACAAAAGCTTTTAGAGGCTCATACTTTGCCATTTGTTTTCAGAGCAAATATGTTTCCTTTCGTCTCCTCAGTGCCCCTCCACCTTTACTGGCAACCAAGTTGGAGCTGAATCCATCCCTTTTCCAAAATGCTCCTGCCTTTAAGGATTGTGTGTGGCGTTACGCTTGTCAGTCCTGGAAGACAATAGTGCCAGAGAGAGCATGATGCTGGAAGTCTGCGAGTCTAGAAGAGTTGGCTGAAACCCATGGATATGTTGATCACTTCTCTAGGCTAGGTTCAAATGTTACTGCTGCCAAGTGAACACTGCTGAAAGTTATTCCCTGTAGCTGTGCTCCATATCAAGTGAGAACAGCTAAATATTTCTTTCTGTGAGGGTCTAAGCAATATCCGAAACTGCCTTCCAGAGCATCCTAAGTAATGTCAATGGACTGTAGTGATTTTACTGGTTGCAACCAGCACATGCATGGCTTTGCTTTACGACTTAATGTCCTGTTTCTGGACTTGTTGCCATAACTAAAGAGACTGAGATCTACAGATGAGATCTTAACACTCATCCTCAATTAATGGCTTGTCATATATGCTTTTCAATTAAAAAAAAAAAAAGATAAGCCTGTTATTTGTGAGCTGGATTTGCAAGTTGGTTCCCCTTTGAAACTCTACACAGATACATTATTTGACAGGGTAAAGATGCTCTAACATTGGATTTTTCTGATATTAAATGTGCATCATGTCAGAGCTACCAGATTTTTGCTTGGGATATACGTCTGTTATTCCTGAGACTGACACAAAACTTTTACCCTTGTCTTCAGATCCCACATTCCTTCCATAGTGATGCAATCTAGACATATGGGCCTTTACCTGCCAGCTGAGATGCAGATCAAAAATGGAAGACATTATTGTATAATTTAAACTGCATGGGATCCAAGGTGTTGACTAACACATTTGTTTACAGTGAAGTTTTCTTTCCTGTGAGCACCTGTGAAAGGCACAGGATTCTCCCAGAGTGTCAGATGAACCTTTGCATCTCTGCATTTCTGACCCATGTGGGAACTATCAGAATTTGAGATCGGTGCATCTTCCTAACCTTTAAGTATCCTCAAGCACCGGAATGGCCATTTGGCCTTGCTAAACAGGAAGGGCTATAAAAGTCTTCCTGTTTGCACTGGAACTTGCCTTAACAATAATGTCTTTCCAGCTCTGGTGCATTTCTGAGTGCTCCTAGGCTGTGTAATTCTGCTTTGGAAATTGAAGAGGACCCCTGAATGCTGAAGATCAATGAAACATGGCGATGTTGAAAACTGCATCCATTTTAGTTGCTGTATACTACATAATGAACTGCCTTTAAGCTAAGTTTTACCATGAATCTGTCCCAAATCTTAAGAAATCAGGCTATGGTCCCAGATCATTATTCAGCTACAAACTCAAAAACATGGAAACATGCACGCATACTTTCTTCTACTCCTTCCTTGAACTTTATGAGCCTAAACATTCAGTTGGAAGTGAAAATAATGGAAGTGTTTCTTGACTTCATACAATCAGGTGTAGAACTTATACCACAATAAAATAAAATGGTTTGTTAAATTTTCCTATGTATTTATTTAGCCATTTAGTTTAATTATTTTACCAGAGTTAAAGAAGCCTTTCTTCTTGAAGGGCAGAATGATACGAACAGGGGAAGAAGAAAACTAACAGAGAAGGGAATAAGACAATGGGAATGGGCAGGATGAGGGAAATATTTGTATAATATACTGAAAAATGAAAAAAAACAAAAAGGCACATAAAAAAACTTCCTCAATTTCAATGCAGCTTTTTCCTCCCAAGACTTTCTAGTTCTTTTTCAAACAATAGAGAATTTCAGAAAAAGAATGTGCTTTTCAGAGAGGTTCAGAACCTCTGCCAGTTGATGTTGGCAACAGCCTTCTTCATGGGAATCATAGCAGCTAATGTCAATTCCATGCAATTAAACCATGCTAAATAGCCACAGCTTTCTGGCTCATGATGCATCTACTACATGCATTGCTAGATAAATTTTGGACCATCAGAGAGATATGCTTGTAGCATGCATCAAATCATTCTGAATAGGCAGACAAAAGGGGAATGCCGAGCTTGGTAGAATCATCTTTTGCAGCCAAACCTAGCTGAACAGTTTACTAGCATATACCTGGATTCTTGCAAGGTGTTACATTGGCTCTTCCTCAGCATGGCTTCATTCAATTTAGAGATCTGACACTGCACACTGACCTTTCCCTTTTTGCTTGTTTTTCTTCCTTCTTTGTTTTGTAGCCTCTCTGTATTGGGCAGCTGCCTCATTTTATAAGATGAATGTGGAATTCTCTTTTGTCTGCAGGGTAGTCCCTGGGGTACCAGGACTGCAACCCAAACTTAGCCCTAGCACAGCTTGGGAGCCCATTCCTCATCTAAACAAATGCCGTAAGCCCTTTTATGCTTTTTACAGCATGTCAAAAATCATATTGACTGCCAATAGTGATGTGATTGGTGTTGCCTCCTCTGAGCCATAAAATAGGCAGTCTGTTATCAATTTATCTAAGTGTATCCAGGGAATTTTAGGCAGGTTCACTTCGAAGTTATAAATGACAACTCAAAAGCTACAGAGGCTTTGAAGCTTGAAGTCAATGATATTATCACAAAGACTGCTCTTCCCTATTTATTTATTGTGTCTAACAGCTAAACAGAAACTAATACATGATAACGCTAAGACGTTGTTGCAAGATTTCCTCAGAAGAAACGTACTTTGTGAAGATAAGACTTATTTAGCTTTTGTTGTTAACAGGCCATTCTGACTGCTGCACATTTATTTATTTATTAGTGTCCTGCTTTTTTCTTAAAAAGAACTAAAAGTGGTTTCTCACAAAAACTCAAAACATCCATTCAGCATCAACAGTAATATGCATGATGTTTCAGAAAGTTGAAGCAGGTGGTGCCATCTCTCTCTCTCTCTCTCTCTCTCTCTCTCTCTCTCTCTCTCTCTCTGTCTCAATAAATTCATTAATTTTAACTTCTAATATTATGCTACTAAGTGTGTGCCTTGTTCTTCCATCTCTATATAGAATTGGTCATTTGAGACAGCTTTCTTCTGCAGAACAGGCACCTGTCTTTGCTTACGGGGATATTTACATATCAATTACATGCATTTGAGGAAGTTCTTCACACATAAGTAATACTTTCTAGCACTAAATAATTGCATAGCATGGGATGCAGATTTACACGGGATCAACCACACCAATAGAAATGGGTTTGCCCACTCCCTCCAGTCACCTGAAAATGCCGTTATGTGTGCCTCTCCCTACAACAGTCTGTTCAGACAATGCAGTCAGCGCCTGAGTACGTCCTCTGAATGCCAACTGTGAGGGATGCTCAGAGGGCAGCAACAAGGGAGTGAATCTTTTCAGCAGCAGCCCCACAACTGTACGATGCTCTCCCCATTCAGGCCCTCCTGGTGCCAACCTGATCATCCATTCAATGTGAGGTTAAAATGGCCCTCTATTCCAAGGCAGTTTAGGACTTCCTAGGTTGGTTAATGGCTTGAGAAATGTGCCATTCCAGGTTTTTACAGGTATCACATCTTGTTTTATGTGTTTTAACTGTTTACAACTTGGAAATTTTTATGGTGTTTCACTGTTATCTGTTTCATGAAACTGGCAAGTAAACTGCCCAGAGAGTTTCAGCTATTGGGCAGTATAGAAATGATGATGATGAAGGTGGTGGTGGTGGTGGTGGTGATGGAAAGGAGGAGGAGGAGCAGAGGAGAAAGGGAGTCAAGAAACCAGGTTGAATGGACTGAGCTTAGCCCCCTCCTCCGTGTGTGTTTGTGTGTGTGTGTGAGTGCACAAGTGTGTGGTGGAATCCTCTAAGAACAAGTGGAGGGAATTTCCATGAGCAGAGCCCTTCATCTTGTGAAAGGTCCCTTCCTCTCACAGAAAGCAATCCCTTGATCCAGCCCATGGAAGTATTTAAACTACACATCAGGTACATGTTGTGCTTGCTTGTAATAGCTTGAGTTTGGACACTTAAAGCAGTGCTATTTGTCTATGAAAAACAACACATTTAAATCATGTTTGAATGCCTTGATTACAAAGATACACACAATCACACACTGCAACACATGCTGAGTGCTCAAAATAGAAATGTCACTGATTAACAGCACGATCCTATCACACTAGACAGCACTTAGGCAACCATACGATTTTCCAGAGACACAGGTACAAGGTTGGAAAAATCACTATGGGTGTGCAGCTAAGTCCTTGCACTCACAGTCCCTCCGTGCACTCACAGCAGTGTGGAGAGAACCACTTGCAGCAGCAGGAAAACAAGGAGAGATCTCCAAGGAAGGAGAGGGGACAGGTGCCACTGAGATGTGAGGCATCTTGGCAGTGCCTCAGCCTCCTTCTCCATGCTCCAAAGTTCCTCAGCCGAATGGCCGAAATTGGCTGTCCAGCTGAGCTGCAGTGCAGGAAGAACCTCAAGGTGGCATCTGCCTCCGCATTCCTCCTGCCCTCCACAGGTTGCCCATAATCCCCTTTGTCTGGAGGTTTACGGGTATTCTGATTGGATTGCTCCTCAAAACTATATAATGAAAATATCAAGTCAAGGTCTGGTTGGCATTCACTCACAAATATACAGACGGTGAACGTACTGTTAAACAGTGTGATGGTTATGCTACTCTATTGCAGTGAAAAAAACCTACTTACCCCAAGACCCCCACAGGGGAGCAATGAAAAGAGCTTTTGGGACACACTGCCTGTATGAAAAGGAGGAGAAAACAATAAGCATACAGGTAGAACTGTTTCATTCCAGTGATTTTTTGCCAATCTTTTTTTATAATCAGTAGTTCCTCACATGAAGCTTTTCCAACAATGGAAAGGAAAAACCTGGAGCTAGTTAAAGGTACACAATAGTTCTACTACAGTCCGCTTCAAACTAGCATTCTCCAAAAATTATGATTACAATTACCATCATTCCCATGCTAGTTGGGGGATGATGGGCATTATACTGTAATGCATTTGGAGGGTGTCAGACTGAAGAAAGCAACACTAGAACTCCAGGACTAATACAATCTATGGCATATTATAGATAATGGCATGCTTTCTTACTGGAACTGAGGTTAAGAAATGAACCTAAGAATTTAGGGATTCGGTCTTATCTTTTTACACATTGGACATAGACATTTGATTTGACACATCTGGTTCTGACAGCATACTCCCAGTGTCTCATCATACACTCACACACTACCTGCTGCAGTAGGGTTGGACCTTCAGGATTTGTTTTGTTTTGTTTCTGAATCCCCAAATGCTGGGAACTGTATATGGGCTGGGAGCCCCCGGTTCATTTAATAACTGAGCTGAAACAAAAGACTTCAATAACCCCACTGCTGTTATGTAGGTGAAAATGCTGAATTAACACAAATTTGTTATGAGAAGAGATAAAGGGAAGACGAAAAACTATCAAATACTCTAAGTATTCCCTCTTGCTCGAAGAAAGCAGTAATTAGACCTTTATTAAAGAAAACTTCCCTTGAGCCAGTGGAGTTATGTAACTATAGGCTAGTCTCAAATATACCATTTCAAGCCAAGGTGATCAAGAAGGTGATGGCCTCACAACTCCTGAGACATCTGGATTATACTGATTACCTGGATCCAGTCCAGTCAGACTTTTGGGCAGAATATGGGGCTGAGACTGCTTTGCTGGCCTTGGTGGATGACCTATGCTGGAAACTAGATGCGGGAAGTGCAGCCCTATGAGTTCCCTTGGACCTCTTGTTGACTTTTGATACCATTGACCATGAGATCCTTCTGGACCACCTGGTAGAGTTGGCCTTAGGACCACTATATTGCAGAGGTTCCCATCCTTTCTGTTGGGTCAGGTACAGAAAGACTACTGGTCAACATCTTGGCTTTTGGACATTGTGTTTCATGTGGTTCCACCCAGTAGTCTGTGTTTTAGTATCTACATCAGCATTTGATAACATGTTCTATGGACTGAATGTGCCCCCAATCTCTTTTCTTGCCCCCACAAAAGTTACACTGCCAAAAATGAAGGCACACCAGCAGCAAAAAACAAATGGGTTTGATAATAGGTTCAATGAAGGTGAACAACAGCAATGGCTCAATGAGCAATGCGAAAATTCACTAAGATTTTCTGAACATTGTTTCAGCACTCAGCTCACAGCTGGTTTACCTTCATGATGAAAATGATCATTGTTAATTTTGTATGAATGAGAAAACTACAAAGCAAACAGCGATAAACATGAAAGTTATGCAAAATTTCCAAAATTCTGCTCATTTCTTCCATAGTTAAGAGTGGGATGATTTAGAAATTTGCACTTGAACAAATCAAATGGGAAAACTAGATGTAAAAACTGAATGTGAGCAGATACTTAGTAATTTACTAACATTTTTGGTGGAAAACGTTCTCATAATTTGAATTGCAAATAGGCCAGGCCAGGCAAAATTGCATGTTTTGCCAAAAGGAACTAAATATACATCCCTACTGAACAAGTTGATACTAAATCCAGACACCAGAGAGGAACAGTTGATCAGTATAAAGTCAGGCTCAGGGATTTGGCTACAACAACATTCAGGTCTGTAGCTTAGGAGTGCTCCTTGACCATACACTATCACTAGATTTGCAGGTAGATGCAACAGCAAGAAGTGATTTTGCACAGTTTGTTTTAGCACAACAGCTGCCACCTTTCCTGAGTTGGTCTGACTTGATAAAAGTTATCCATATATTAATCACATCATGGCCAGATGAGTTCTGCTTAGGGCAACACTTAAAGATCATCCAGATGCATCAGTTGGTGCAAAACGAAACAGATACATTTCTAATTGGTGCACCAAATCAAGATGGTATTACCCCAATATTGGAAGATCTTCATGGGTTACCAGCTGTTTTCTGCACTCGGTTCAGAGTTTTTACTTTAACATTTCAAGTTCCAAATGTCTTTGGGTCTGGTTATCTAAGGGGCTGTCTGTCTTGCTATAAACTTGATTGCTTATTAAGATCTGTAGAAGAAACCTTTTGAGGATACACCTTTTTCATTTCGACATGGACATTTCTATTATTGGTTTTAATGTCATATGGTTTTATTGTAATTTTTATGCTTCTATGCTATTGTTATTGTTTTATTGTATTGTTATGCAGTGACTTTTATAGAAAGGTGGTATCAAATTCTGCAAATAAAAATTAAATACAATCAAAAGGGTTAGGGAAAGTTTGGGGAATGTGCCATAGAATGATAGGATTGCAGTTCTCATCCCATCTTCCCATTGCAAGAAAGGACAATCCAAGTAGCAGTTCACCCTAGAACAACCATGCAATCCAGATTACAATATAGCACAGCCAGAAGTAAGTGGTTAACTCTTAGTGATTCAAACAGACATTAGTGCTGCAGGATCAGCAACCACTCTGAATTAGGAGATAAAAGCTTTTACAGAAATGTACATATGTACAATGAAGTATGTATAAACAAATTTTGATAGAATCATTCACAAACAAGAATGTTTGCTTTAAGGAAACTGACAAAGCAGTTAAATACAAGTTACTGAAAATCTGGCGATTCTACCTTGGCTCAGGGGAATCCTGTCTTGTGTCAAGCCTTATTATCTGGTTACTTCTGTAGCTGCATTTCCAATATGCAATATTTGGGATCTTGGTTCTGTTACAGACTTATAGTGCGGGGCTCCCATGCGGGTGTTTGTGTATAAGAAAATATGCCATTGCTTGCGAGTTAATAGGAACCAGGAGGGGTTCGGAGGTCTTTCGTGGTTTTCATTATCATTACTTCAGGCATATAGTGACTCTGGTAAAAGCATGAAAGAAACCTGCCTCAAAACTGTAATATACTCACACATATTTTATAGATTCTTTATGCGTCACTTCTACTTAAATTGAAGCATTAGCTATTGAGATGGTCTGATGCATAATTTACACTTTTATAGATTTGCCGCTATTAGAAATGTTTGTTTTTTAGAAATATTATGTTAACAAAGGGGGGAAATGGAAGCAAAAAATGAATAGTTGTTCTGAATTGTCCTGATCAAAGGAATGCTATACAGTGGTGCCTAGGACATAATAAAAGTGTACATCACATCAAGATGTCATGTTCTGTGACACAGTATCTTTAATGAACTATAAGCCTTTCAGAGGTGGCATGAGTTTAAAGGATTTTTATTTTACTACTGACCTCACTGCATTTGTTTTAGAAAAGCTATTAAGCAGCTGCTTAGTTAAATAACTTCAACTTCAATAGGCGATGAACACATTTTCCACTATTAGCTCCAACATTCCTGAGTTCTTAATGGATAGTTTGTGCACACACATAGTTTGTGAGTGTTTTGTAAACTGCCCAGAGATCTTCAGCTATTGGGCAGTATAGAAATTCAATAAATAATGATTTCTTAAAACATGTCTCTGTGGAATTGTTGAATTATCCCCTTAATGATCTTTTCAGGGGATGAACTAATTCTGTTCAAAAGTCTGTGAATTTAAGGTATAGAACCTGAATTTACTTCATGTTTTATTCCCCTCTACCTTTCTCCTCCCTTCTGCATTGTGACTTGGGGGAAGGGATTGCCTCATTTTTATGGTTTGATAAACCTCTCTGGGAGTCTTCTTGGCTGAAGAGCAGGGCAAAAAACATACTAATACATGCAAGCATGTACACATGTTCATGAGGCCTTGCATACAAAATAGACTTTGATCCAGTACTGGACCGATCTTTCTATCAGATTAAACATGGCTTGCAGGCCCATGTTACTCTGAAAAATCTCCATCTTTTCACAAATGCCAGTAGCTGGTAATGCTGCATAAAAATATCAAGGTCAGTGCAACAAAGCATTCTGCTTCAAGCAGAACGATGAGGGAGACCAGATGACATAGGAACCAGAACAAAACTCCCAACACACCTACCTTGGACTGAGTCCTTGTGAACTCAGGCAGCCTTTCAACTGATTAGAGATGTACAGGTTTCATTGTCAGCCCCTGAATGCTGACAGAAGACCATTTAGGTACTGGTTGTGCTATCTGTGGGGTGTTTGGACACTGACATGTACTGGCTCAGCACCGGAAATATTACTGCACTTGCACCACAATAATTTTATGTTTTAAATACTTGTAAACACAGTGCTGGTGCACAACATTTGCTACCTATACTGGAGACCAAGTGCCGCTGACATCTTGATATCAGTTCTTGCCTTTATCTGTCTCCACCCCAATTTCATACTTGTCTGAGACCCTTCAGTGCAGAATATGGGATCAAATGTTACCCTTGCATCGATTTGCCCATCCCTCCCTAACTATTCACTGCAATAAACATATTAGTGCCATGAAGGGTTAATGTCCATATGATCATAAAGGGGGGTGGGGGAAGAGAGAGAGAGAGAGAGAGAGAGAGAGAGAGCGCTCTATTGCTGCTTTCTAGCCAGAGTCTTTTCCTAATCTATGTTGGCTGCCACTACAACATTCTCTTTCCACAATGCAATGCATTTGGAAAAAGTGATACCTTTTTTTTTCTTTTTTTGTTATATTGCTTGCCAAGTATTTTAAACTGACTCCAGCTATGACTAATGACAGTACTGGAATGTGCTGTTCTCAGTAGAATAGAGCCCTTTACAGACCTGGGATTTTCCTGGGGTCCAGCTTCTGTCTGTTCAGGGGGCTGGTGCCATACAGCAGTGAATGATGTTCGGAGTGAACCAGCTGTATTTCTTCCAGACTGGCTTTTCGACCTCGGATCCGCTGAAAGAAAGCAGCAGAGGTCTACACTACTCCACTGATAATATACAGGGGAGGGGAAAGAAAGCAAATCCAAAATAACAGTTCATAGAATTAATCATGGGCAGTAATATTGCATCATACAGGAATGTGACACTGACTTTGTTTAATCAGGAAAATAAAGCCCAGATAATGTTTAATATGCATTGATTTCACGGCAAGCCAAAGATGTCAGAATAACCCAGCACTTTTCATGCCTGACATAAATGTCTCCCCACTTGGAGAGGGGGGTTCATTGAAACAACAAGGGCTAAACAAAGCATAACACTATTCATGTATTTAAAAAGTATATATTTTAAATAAATAATATTTGTAGGTGTGCACTGCAGCTGAGAGCAAAGGATTAACCCCTCCCCCAACTTTCCCATGAAGGTCTGGATTGGGACCACTGTGCCTGCTATTTTGCTTTTAAATCCCTTAACACAATTGCATTCATGGAGTCATGTTTAGCTTGGCCCTAAGATAATACAGAAAATAGTTGTAACCTTAGGAATGTCTGTGCTGAAAGACCAAAACGCACACCTTTATTAATCAATTCAAAAATCACAGAAATGTGTAAGCTTTTGAGATCTTTTCATTAGGCAAGTTGTCACAAAAAACAGATTTGGGATAAAGGAGAGGAAGAGGAAAAGGCTGACAAGTGCTAAAATTATGACATGGTCAGAGGCTCATGTTGGGATGCAGGAGGAAATTACAGACATTCAAATTAAGCTACTGTGATGATTTCAGGCTGCACCTACAGTAGATAGATCCTAGATGAAGAAACAAGCAAACAATGACTGATCCTCTTCTTTTGAAAGGCATCTCAGATCTTGTGCATCTGTGAAGAGTGTTGCTGCAGTATCGATTTTGGCTTGTTTTATGAGGAACATGGTTGCCTTTGCTTTGTGATTGAATGGCCATTTTTCTGCACCGTTGCACCCATTAGGACATTGTTATCTGGAGCAAGAGCACCCATTCTGCACAATGGGTGTCACAAAAGGCACACGATGTGCTACTCTTTGAGTATCACCTGCAAAGGAAGGCATCTCTGTACATCAGCCAGTGGCACCAAGGGAAGCCTGCATCAGCCCAGCTCAGCTGCTGGCTTCTCCCTGGCTTAGCAGAGTAGCCTGGACAAAATAGACGAGAATCTCACAGACTGATTCCATGTTAAGCAGCCAAGAAGTTGCCAACTTGCCATTGCTATGCCTGCGGGGAAAAGAGGTGAGATTGGATTCAAGAACCAAGAACATGCTTGTAGAATGTTTATTAGGAAAAAAAACTAACAAGTGGAAAATTGGTAGACTAAAAATGTGGCAGATAACTGCAATGGTCTTTAATGGCTGGGCAGGATGGTTCAAAAGAGACTGGTTCTGCTGAAAACATGACACGAGTCTGGACTATCACTGGCATAGTTGGTTTCTTATATGAACAGAGAGGCCTGTCTGGTTCTTCTGTGACGTTGCAGGGATCTTTAGCATGCATTGACATATGCAGAGCCCAGGTTCCCTAGTCTAAGTCAGTGATGATTGTTGATGATCATGATCTTCATCTTCATCACCTTCCTCTTCATCCTGAGCAGGCTTCTATCCATCTATTGGGTTCAATCAAACTTTTGGGAGCTAATTCAAGAAGCAGACATTTCTACAAATGAACCCTCAGTTAATAAAGGCTCATTTCCATTCATGAAGCTGTGAGTTGTCTAAACATGTGCATGTGCTTTGTTGTTGTTGTTGTTGTTGTTGTTGTCATGTGCTGTCAAGTCATCTCTGACTTATGGAAACCCTATGAGTGAAACCTTCCAAAATGTCCTGTCTCTATTCAGCTCTTCCAAGTTCAAGCCTGTGGCTGGCTGGTGGGCGGGCTGGCTGGCTGGCTTCCTTCCTTCCTTTCTTCCACCCACCCACCCATCTCATATTTGACCTTTCCTTTCAACTTCTGCTTTCAACATTCCATGACATGATTGTCTTCTGCAGTGAGTGCCTTCTCATGATGTGTCCGAAGTATGATAGCCTCAGTTTTTGCCATTTTTGCTTCCAGGGAAAACTCAGGCTTGATTTGCCCTTGGACTCACTTATTTGTCTTTTTCTCAGTCTAGGGCATTCACAAAGCTCTCCTCTGGCACCATGTTTTCAATGCATCAATGTTCTTCCTGTCAACTTTCTTCACTGTCCAGTTTTCACACCCGTAGATTGTGATTGGGAATACAATAGTTTGGATGAGCTTGACATTGGTCTTCAGTAAAACATCCTTACACTTGATTATCTCCCCTAGTCCCATCATCATTGCCCTGCCAAGTCTCAGTACATATCCCTTAGGTGTCCATATACTCTGAACAAGAGGATGTGTAAAACCGCTTACAGAATTTCTGGGCCATAGTCTACTAGAAGGTGTGGCCAAAGCTCCCAAAATATCAACATATTTTAACTTAAAGGTCTTACTGCCAGCAACAAAACCTTAGAAGAGGCATCTCAATCTTTTAGAAGGCTGGGGGAACCTGCACAAAGGGCAGGAAGCCACCGAGCAATTGGTGGCTGGGGGAAAAGAGGAGGGGACAAGGCATGGTTATGGCTTTCTAGAGATCCCACAGAGAATTGAAATAGGATGCCTGGATGGACAGATTTGGCACCAATCCTGAGATTGTATAGCTAAGTCCCAGGACTGGCTAGCAGCAATAAGTTATGGCAGCTTTATAAGCCAAGAGTGAAGGAATGAATAGAGGGAGTCATTTACACCAAGAGGGTTCAGTGTGGACAGCACAGCAGAAGAAGCAGGAGACAAGAATCCCCTTCTGACTGTACCCCTTCCACCTTCAGGTGCGCCTCCTCCCCAGTTTGACACCCTGCAGATACACTGAATCTGGATTCCTTCCATCCGGAAATGACCAGTGGCAGTTAGACTATGGCACATCTGCCGGGCACCAGATTGGGAAAGACCAACCTACACGTTCAACAGTGGCCATCTAAAGTACAACTGGCCATCACAACCTATGGCCACAGGGGTGCTCAGAATGGATAAGTGTCATTGGGAAAGATGGTGTATTAGGAAGGTTGTGGATGTTGTATTGATAAATACCAGACAAGGCATAATAAATGGCAAGGAAGTTATATATGACTTAGCAAGTTGTAGGTTTGGCAGGGCAGAAACAGGGCACAGCTCTTTCGAGCATCTTTTCTGCACACTGTTCAAATTCAGAGAGCTGATGTGGTATAGTGGTTAAGAGAACATTACTGGGAGTCATGCAATCTGGATTCTAGTCCCTGCTCAGCCATGAAACCAACTGGGTGACTTTGAGCCAGTCATGGATTCACAGCCCAACCTACCTCACAGGGTTGTTGGGGAGAGGATAAGACTGCGAGCAAGAGGAGGAGAAACTCAAAGCCACTTTGAGTTCTTTGTATGAAAAAAAGGTATGATATAAATCCAAAACATAAATAAATAAAATTCAGGCATCTATCTTTGCTTTTTTGAGCAATATACAGCCATGGTTTTCAAATGCTTCCAACCTCATAGCATAACTCCATTCCCTTTTTATGTTTTAGGTACTTTTCTGCCCACCCTACTATAAAAAAATCAATCAATATTTACCATCTTGTGCTCCTAATAACACTTTAGCTCCCCATGCACAATTGCTTACCAGAGAACTAAACAGGCTATGCCTAGTTAGAAACCAAGAGTATTTCAAGGAATTTCTCTTAACCAACCCTTTAATGTTTTCTGTTGCATGAGCCAGAAAAAAACACTCTCGCAAGATTTATAATCCTTACTAGCATTCCAGTTCTAACATGCTTGTTTTTAGTGGCCAACAAACATTTAAGAAAAGAGACTATTTTTTGTGACTGTCAACAGCACTTGACGTAATACTGAATCTGGACTCCTTAAAGAATCCAGAATATTTTTCCTACCAATTGGACTAAATCGTAAAATGGTCTCCAAAGAAGGGAGTGGAAGCTGCTATTTTCTTTTAGCAATTTAAAATTGGAACATACCCCAGATTGGAAAATGCAGTTTCAACGATGCAAAGACTTATATCTCAGTCTGAAATATCTTTATTTAGGAGTAAATTATTTCAGTAATTGATGTGTGATATTTTTCCCCCTGAGAAATTTTACTAATCTGATTAAAACTTTCATTGAATTTCCTTGGATGCTTTGCCTGAGAAGGAAGCTTCTCCCCCAGCCCATTGCTGACAAAATCACTCCAAGTTCTGCTTTAGGCAAAATGTTGGTGTCGACTCTCATTTCAGTGAAAGTTCTATCCAACTAAATATGATCCTTTAGCCTCACAGGTTAATTTCTTTACCTCTCCCAGTCTTGTCGGGGAGTTTTTAACCAAGGGACAATATCTGAAGCACAGTTGCATAAAAGAAAGAACATAAAGTTACTTGGTGGAGACCATAATAAATTTCATAATTGTTCTTCTGGGACTGATTAAAAAATGCTGCTCTTCATGCATCAAGTGATTGATAACTTTCTTTCATTCTTCTTAAATTATATGTATTTTCTTGAAAGAAGGGAAAGGGGGTGTGATATAATATAAATGTTTTTCCTGGAATGCACTTCAGATGACTGCATAGACCATCAATGAAGAAACCCCAGGTGGTGGGTGCTGTTCAGAACCCCTTCATTTCCACCAAGGGTTGCACTTTCTTTAGAAACTCTAATTAAAATATTTAATAAGTTGGAGTAATTATTAGTCATTGTAGCACTTTGTTCACTAATCCAGACACTCTGAAGTACCAAAAATATCACTGTCCTCAAGGGGATGAAAACAACAGCAGCCGATTTGTTTTAAAAAAATAAATACAACTTTGGAATGATTTCTAGCCCAGTCCTGAACATGTTTACCCAGAACTAAGCCCCACTGAGTTCAATGGGACTTACTTCCTAATAAGTTTGCTTAGGGATTGCAACCCTCAGTTAATTATTTTTAAATGTTCGCAAGAGTGTCATGGGTTTCAGGTCTTATATTTAAGGACTGAGAAAACACACTAACTGCAAACTATGCATCCCATGGAAATCCAGACCAGCTCACTTCACCCGAGAATGCACTCTCTGAGACATTCTGCTCTGAGCATCCTTGGGAATTGAGAGAAAGCTGATTGCACAGAGGCAGCAAGTGGATGGCACGCTGTATGAGAGTGTGCTTCCAAGGGCATTTCCATTCTGCACACAGACGAATAGTCAGCCTTCCCACTGATCCACAAAAGCACTGTGTGGGCAGCTAGAACTTTACCTATAGGAAAAGATGGGTGTCTCCTTTTCCCAGATGCCTCTGTTTACTGCTTTGTGCAGCAGGGATCGGTGGAAGTGCTATGGTTTCATTAAAAACAACGACAACAAAGGAAAGTTAAAGGGGGAGCAAAAGGTCCCCATGAGGAGTACTAACAAAAAAATCATGCCCAGGTGTGTGGCATGAGCTGCAAGTACCAGTAGCCCATTGGGACCTGGGACCAGTTAAGATCTAAAGATGGTAGCATCCATGCAGAGTATAGCAAACACTTCCGGTGCCACTGAGCTACACGTCATCTGGAATGATTTTACAAAATACCTTTGGGACTGGCATGATAACTCCCTACACAAATCTACAGGAGATCAATTTAGTTGTACATCAAGTAGACCCACTCAAATCAATGGGACGTAAGTCAGTTATGACTGACTGATCCCCCACTGATTTCACTGGGTCTAATCCAAGTATGATTACATCTGGATCCAACCCCTGTGTAGTAAGTGGAGCTGTATGTTCCAACCCACATACTAAGAAGCCATCAAAGCATAGAAGCATTTTTGGAAACTTGCACATGTAGGCCAAAAGAGGTTTGAAGGTTTGAAGCCCTGAAAGGTTTGGAGAGGAGGGAGCTATTCTGGTACTCATCCAAAGAATGACTAGTGGGACTGGATGGTTGTGGAAGAAGAAAATATGAAATGAGCCAATAAACCAAAAGAACAAGCATATGTAGGTGCATATAACTGCATTCATAGGGGATGCAGTAGGCACATGATTATCTCCAGTTCTAGAGTCCTAGAACTCAGGAGCCACTGGGATCAAACATATATGTCCACTCATTCATGTAGTTTCACAAGGAAAGTTCAAATGCCTGTACTCCTGTCCTGAGGGTTGGATAGCATAAAGCCAATTCCTGGCACAGTGTATAATGTATTACTAGTCCCATTAATCAAAATATAGGGAACTCATAGATCTAGCACCTGGAAGAACCAGGCTCTCCATGAGTATTCCAAGGATTAGGCAAAGCTGAATGAAGGGAAGTTCTCCCAGTTAAATCAGATGCCAGCATCTTTGATCAGCACAGGCATAAAATAACTTTTAACACTTAGAATAAATAAAAAATGTATAAAAGGAATGTGGCATCATAAATCTTGGCTTCCTTAGCCAATATCCATCATGTTATTATTTTACAGCCAAAACCATCCTTATGGGAACAACCATGTAAGAACATTATGACAGCATGATGATTGATCGGGGAGAGAATCAAAATATTGTTGATTTATGCTGTGATAAAAGCAACGTTCTTAAGATTATTTAAGGCTGTTAGAGTCTTGAATAGGTTCTAAGTGGGAAGACAACCACACTATTTTTTTGGGGGGAGGGGAATCTAAATAATCCTGCAGCTCTTTGTAGCTTCCAGTGTAAACCCTTCTGCCTAATCCAGCCTAGTTTGGTGGAATCAAACCAGGATCACACCAAACCACAGCAGTTTATATCTATTCCTCACAAACGAAGGACAAAACAGGTGTACCTGTATAAAATGTAATGCATTTCATGTGTTTCTGTAAAAATAAAAGAATCATATTAAGAAAAGGCACTGGGTCACACCTCTAGGCTGCATTTTGATTATGTGCACAGGGTTCCTTTCCTTCTCATATGTGGTTCCATGAGTAGCCAGCTGCAGTCATTTACTAACTCAGCTGAATCACAGCCACTGTGTTAAGCACTGAAGCCTTAGATTTCATGGGGTGGTGCTACGAAAAGCAGTACTCCTCAGAGAACACCCTTGACACCTCTAGATTCCCAGTCTTCAAGGCATGGATAGGCAACTTGCAGTCCCAGGGCCTAATTACTAAAGTCCTCTTTATAGCACCAGTTCGGTCCTCTGGCAAGGGAACTCTGTCCCTTTGGGGCAATCCACTGCATGAGGAAGGAGAGGGACGAAGAGAAAAAGGGGGTGGAAGAAAGCGAAGGGAGAGGCTGAAAGACCCACCCACTTATGGTTGAAGCCCCACTCACTGCTGACATGCAGCTTCCAGGAGAATATTCCTGAGGGGCGATGAGGCCATCATCAGGAAAAAGACAGCTCACCCCTGCTTGATGGGCATTCTCATTTATTCTACCCTATTCACATTTAAGATTGTTCTGACCACCAAAACAGTTCAAATGCAGTTTGAACCGACAGAGTTAGATACTCTGTTTACACATCAACATTCACACAGAAGCTGCTTATCACGGATGGAGTCTTGAAAGGAAAGGAAAGCCATTCATCCATCTTCCATGTACCATGAGCACAAAGATTCCATAGCATATTTTGTGTCTCAGAGTACAAGAGACTACCTGTCTGGTGCTTACAGAAGAACTGAAAATCAGTATAGTATTAAGACTGCAATCCTTAACAGCAACAGATTTTTGTGGTCATGATTTTGATTACCTCACACTTATTTAGCAACCCACTTTCTTGCAGCCTTGACCAGATGCTCTGTATCCTTCCGGCATGCTCAGGATGATTGGTGTAACTGCCGCACATACACTGGTGCTTCAGCATTAGTGCATCATACACGACACCTTCAGTACAAAGAGAATAAAACATGGAATGATAAGTAAAATAGAAACACATTCTGCATTTACCTGTTTGGAGCAACGTATCACAAGGAAGATGCACAGATGTGTCTCTGTCCATTTAGAGTTCTTTCAAATTTCAGGTATAGGAGAAGGAGGAGAATTAGGTCAGGACTTGTGTGGGGAGAAAACTTAATACCACTTCTTCAGTGAAAATACCCCCTGAACAGTGATTTGCTGCGCAGCAAAAACATATGGGCACATGTGGGCTACCCCCCCCCCAAACTTTTTGCTAGGGTGGCAAATGCCACTTCATGCATGGACTTGTCATGGTAGCAGTATAATGGCAGGACTTTGGGGGAGTAATTAAGAGCCCCTGCTCAGCACAGTGGGCAGGGAGGGTGGTCCAAATGTAGTAGGACTGGCTTACAATGCTTCAAAGTACAGTAATGCACATTGCCATGTAAGCAGAAACAGGGTAAGACAATCCAGCTTGTCTAGTCTAGAATTACCGAACTGCACATGGGGAGATCCACTGTGAAAAATGATATTCAGGAAATGCTCCCTTCTGATCCAAAGAGCTCCTGCCCCTTGGCTGGTAGGAGAAAGACATTTAAAGAGATGGGAATACATTTGTATATCTCCCTCTTCATGTCTTATTTAGATGAAGGACGCTGCCCTACTCAAGAAGCACATGAGAACAGTAGCAAAACTCCCTGAAAAGGCAGATAAAATGTGAAAGATAAAATATGAACAAGTCGAATTTACCACAATGGTGGAAGTGGATGTGTGGGAAAACACCTAAATGCACTCATTGATCAAATGCTCATCACTTTTACTTTTGCTGTTCCCTCACCCCTCCTCGCCATATGCACAATCACATCCAAAAAGTTGACCTTCCGATTCAAAATGTTGAAATTACCTATTTCCAGGGCAGCCTCAGAATCTTGAGCACAACAAATTGCAATGGGTTCTGCCACAAGTGCCAGTGGAAAAGAAGGTTTGGTACAGCCATGATATGCTGAGAAAACTCCAACACAGAAGCCACCCCGCATGGAATTTACCCTGATACTATGGGACAAACTTTCTTGTCGATCTCAAAGTGTGCCAATCAGGGCCAGTAACATCTGTTCAAACAAAACTCAGGTTTGTTGAAGTTCTCCAAATTCCATCACAAAACTTATTCTCTGCTGTGTCCATATCAGAGTGATTTTTTTCTGTGCAGCTTCATACATATTTTTGCAAATGCACACATCAACTGTGTGCATCATTATAATGTGCATATGTGTGCATGCAACTTGTTTGAGCACATTTTTCAAAAGTACACATTTTTCAAGGACATCTTCAAAATGTGCACATGCTGTCAACATGCTTTTCTTGGTCCATGAATCATATTGCAAATGCAGAAATAGATATGCCCAAACATTTATCTGAGCCCACATTTGGTCCGGAAGGTATAATCTGGGTAAATCCTCATCAAAAACACAGATACTTCTCTTACTTCCCTAATCAAGATTACTTCTAATGTTACAAATAGATCTCTCCCTCTCTCTCTCTCTCTCTCTCTCTCTCTCTCTCTCTCTCTCTCTCTGTGTGTGTGTGTGTGTGTGTGTGTGTGTGTAGGGGTTAGAATCCTGTTGTTAGCCAGAGAGAGAGAGAGAGAGAGAGAGAGAGAGAGAGAGAGAGAGAGAGAGAGAGAGAGAGCGTTTTCTATTGCTTCAGATTGTCTTCCACATATCAAACAGCTCTTAAATGCAAACTGAACTGTTGCTGAATTAAGCACTTTGTAGTAAATATTGGAGTAAATATTTTGACCGTGTGTGCCTTGTAAAATTCAGGGTCTTTATGTTTCGTGGAGTGACTTAGATATGTATACAAATAGTTTTGTACCAGAAAAAAATGCAGGTGACTCTACAAGGCTGACTCCAGGTTTGAGGGGTCCCTTGGTTCAGTATCCTTTCAAGGAACCCCCTCCTAGGTCAGGGAGGTACTTCCATAAGCTGTGATGGATTTGCCTGAAGTGTCCCAAAAGTGATACCATGATGGGGACACTCACAGACATTACAGAAAATTCTAGGGGATGCGCCAGACAGCTGGCATTCATCAGAGGGGAGACCCCTATCAGTGTGGAACCCTGCCAAGATGCTGGGACCTACGAATGGCCCAATTATGCTGACTGCTGGTAGCGCTAAAGGCTCTGCAGGCTTAAATATGCTACCTGAGTTTCCCCCAGAAAGACCAAAACATCTCCTGTGGCATAGTGTCTGGAGTGCTGGACTGGGACTTCAGAGATCCAAGTTCTATTCCCCACTTGGCCATGAAGCTCACAGGATGACTTTGTGCCAGTCACTGACTCTCAGCCTCATCCACCTCCCAGGTGAGATAGCTACCTCAGGTGAGGTGGCTTTTATGCTCAGCTGTGAGAATAAAAAGTGTGGAAGGGGTTCATACCTTGTAAGAAGAGGTGGAATGTAAGTGTAACGAAAAACTAAAAATCACAAGCAGGACTGATATGCCTTGCAGCATTATCCTGTCTGTGACTACTCAGAAAGAAGTCCCAGTGAACAACTCTGGAATTTGTTTGTCTCTAAACAATTAATCAATTCAGCATGGATCACATCAAATACTGTGATCTGGGGCCCTGTCAGAAACATTCCCTCAGACTTTCAAATGGTAAAAAATCCTCAGTCTCACTCCCAACTGCACAATGTCTGATGAAGAGGATTCCTTAGTTTAAAATGAAAACTGAATGTACTTTTTCCCCCGCATTCACTTCAAACATCTAAATTGATTTAGGATGTGCAAATAATTCACTTCTGCAGCTGTGGGTCACACAGCACGTGTGCTACGGTACCACAACATAGCAACGGAGCTCCTACTAAAAATAGACTGTAGGATTCCCTAACACGATCCAGCCAAAACTACCCCATCCCCCAAAAAGTAAAGAGAGAAGAGACAACTGTTTTCAATTGCCGGCTGCTGTGGAATGTTAGTGGAAGATAATTATTCGGTTTGGAATGTTGTCTTCTTTCAAGCCAATGGCAAAATTCCCCACTGAAATCAGAAGGGCCAAGATTTTAACTTTTCTTTTCTGCAACCCTCTTCTCTATTTTTTTAAAGTCAGATTCTCATCTAATTAGTGTAAATCATGAACTTGCATACACATTTGTCAGGGTGGAAACTAGCCTCCAGAGAGAAATATACATTTATTTTAATACATTACTTTATTATCCTTAAGGCTCACAGTGGGTGACAACTTTTATGAACATTCATTGAAATGTGGATATGCAGCTTCTCCTTCACCCACAAATACCTGCCCAAGTAAAATGCTTTTCTGTACTTTCAGAAAATGGTCAGACTATGTGCTGTAGCTGCTTCTGGGAGTCATGAATACATACAGGCATTTGACATATCATCTAGTCTGGGTCCAGGAGAGGTGATTATGTAAGAAACTTTTCCACTGCTCTTCCATGAAAGCCTGTGCAGGATTCAGAGAACAGTGATTAATGGGTTCATTGGAATTGCTTTGCCTGGAGGAAGTTTCATCATTTAAGTTAGTTGTATTAGTCTCTTCTTAGTTACTAGTGAATGGACCCAGCCTCACACAGATCAGCAGAGACAGGAGCCATATAATTCTGTCTCTTAGCCTGCTAATCTTCCTGGACTTCAAACTTTATTAAAAGCAAAACTATGTGCTGGCATGGGAAAATTGCCATCTAGTGACTGAAGATGTTGCTTCAGGCTTGAAGAAAAAATAAACATTTAAACCATACAAGAGAGGGAGGGAGGAAGAACTTTGAGGTGCAAGCCCCAGTTTTCCTTTAGTATCCATGCCAAATTGCAGGTGTCTACATCTTGGCACAAAGGTAGAAAAGAACCTATGGCTAAGGCTCCCTGGGATGCTCTTGCTCAATGGCAGGAATGATAGACTTTGCTCCTATAGTCCTTTTGTCTTTTTGGTCATGGTGGATGCTGGTGGGGCTACCAGGCAGGACTTTGGGTAATACACTTTCTGTACCCAGGCATAGGGAGGTACTGAGCCAGCTGAACAAATGGTCTGATTGGATACAGCAGTTTCCCTACTGTATTTAGAGAAGAAGCTACAAGGCCTAGAACAGCTTTCCCCAACTCAATGCCCTCCAGATGTTTGTGACAACTAGTCCCGGAATTCCTGGCCATGAGCCATGCTGCCTGTGACTAATGGTAGTTGAAGTCCAAGACATCTGTAGGTTACCAGGCTATGGAAAATTGGCCTACAGGAATTATAAAATTTCAAAAGAAAAATATTGGAAAAAAAAAACAGTAGAGAATATGTAGCACAAGTGGTAGAATTAAAGGTTTTCAGAAGACTCAATAGCATGTACATTTTAAAAAATCCACATTTCAGTTAAAGTTCTATCAGATGCAAGATTCAAAAGTAAAAATGGAATTTGAAATGAAATCGAAAACCAGTAAAAGGAGGTGAGAGAATATATATTATAATCCAATTCAAATACATTTCAAATTTATCCTGCATTATGGAAATTGCATAATTTTTTGTAACAAGCAATCAACTTCCTATAAAAGATTTTTTCAGTTGCCATAAATAAGTGCCTTTTATGGTTGAAGTTGAGTGTACCCCTCCCACAATACAACTGGGATCACTCCCACAAATGAAGCACTTCGAGAGAGAGAGAGAGAGAGAGAGAGAGAGAGAGAGAGAGAGAGAGAGAGAAACTAAAGCCACTGTGCAATTAAAACACCATGGAGACCCCACAGAACTTTTTCATCTGCACATGCCAATCATTTTTTGATAGCAGATGTCATTTCCCAGTATCTGATCATGTAATTTCTGTTTCACCCGTGGCTTTGTTTGTCATGGTGAAGAAATCCACCATTTTCATCAGCAGTGAGATTCCTGTGGAAGGTAAATGCTGGACCTCAGACTTATATTTCTCATTCAGACTTAGAACTACTTATCAGAAGTCTCATTTCAGCTTGGTGGTGGGCTCAGCAGAAGCCTCCCCC